ACCATCAGGACGCAGACGAATTTCGGTTCAGTGTCCCCTTCTATAGACTCAGCGACTTCAAACCAACGTAGATATTAACCTGAACTTTCCCAAAATCAAATACTTTCAATAAATGCACTTGTAGTTTGTTGGACTAGGGGTTGTGAAATAAGATTTTTTGGCTAGATTATCGTTGGTAGCCAGGAATGGGGAAACGGACGGCGAACTTAACCCTAATCCTAACCTTAACCCTAACCATAACATCGACCTTAAACTTTAATCGTTAACCTTAAGGGCAACCCTATCCCTAACCGAAATCGTAAACGGAACCGTGGCCCTTAGACATAGCCGTAATTGAAAAAACTAACAGTAATACTGGAACCTAATCGTACGCTCAAACCCTAACCGTAACCCGAAAATCTAAGCCTAAAGGCATAACCCTAACCCGAAAATCGGAAACCATTAACCGGTACCCTAATCCTAACCTCAAACGTAAAACGAAGCCAAATAGGTCAGATGTGATCATGGAACTCCACAAAATATCCCCAGTAAACAATCTCCCCCCCCCCCCCACGGCCACCTGTAATACGGGGCCTGGCTACCAACTGCGATCTAGCCGATTTTTTAACCAAGAAAGCGAGATGGATCCAGTAAATGGCTCGTGATATTTTATACTCCTTCTCCGACAGTCAGACTGGATTCCACAGCGTTTAAGCATCAACATTCGCAACATTTGCCGAAATAAAGTGCTGTGGGACAGTGGCTTTGAAAGATTTTCCGAAACTTTGGCAAAAGTTCCCATCAGCTAGACGGTACAATCCTGCGGACATGTATTTTATTATTTTATCCCTTCTTTAAGTCAACCATGGACGATTTACGACGTGAAACTGGATGAAACCTCGTCTGCCAATTTTGGGACTAGAGACCCGAGGGGTTTGCATGTCTCCAATTTAGCCACTGCTGGGTATTTCCGATGAGATATTTTAGAACTGTTGTGGTAGGCATCGATAAGCGAAAGTAATGGAAAATCGGAGGCTCTTTGGAAACAGAATTTCATGCTGCAGGCCTTTGTAAAGAAATCATCAGTTTTTGAACGCCATGTCTGTAGCCGCAGTCTTATGAAAAAAGCAAATACTTCAATCGCGCAATGTACACGCATTTGGCGTCTTCGTGTCAACACCCCAGGTTGTGACCAGTAGAAAGCTGCGCCCGATAGTGGGGTGTGTCTGTAGACGTGTGTGTGTGTGTGTTCCTGTAGGCCATTTTGATGGCTTTACGCTAACGTCAACCACGATTTCATCAAAGTTACTGCTTGCGTGTAAACAAACTAGCCTACATTTACTGACTGGCACAAATCAGAGTTTTTGGTTGCCACGCCAACATTCAATGAGAGTGTACACCCATGACTTGAAGGCGGAAGTAGGAACCAGAACTTAAACAGACGAGAATTATTTTCGGGGCCTCAGCAACAAATGTGTACGTACAGGTGCATAGGGGTATTTCCGATTGATTTGGATGCTCTTCATCAGGATTACTTTGACTGGCTTCTATTCGCTTCGTTGTGTTGAACCTACACTTCTCTGGCGTCGTTTTTATGATGTTTACACTAATGCATTCGTTAAAGCACAGTGTGGATTTTTCCTGCCAACCAGTTAATGAAGCTGTTTATTGACGTAGAATGCAAAGTATTATAGGCTACATGATCTCTTTTGTATATAGCCTAGATCTGTACTGATATGGTAAACCACAAACCTTAACGTGGTCAAGGATCTAATGGGAATTACTAGCAAACGTTAATTTCAAAAGTCCAATTCCCTGCATGGCGTTGAAAGGAAATTCTTAAAAGGAGGATAGAGGGAGCGGCGACGGCATCGGCCGAGGAAAAGGAGGAGGGGGAGGGAGAAGATGAGGAGGAGGAGGAGGAGGAGGAGGAGGATGGGGAGGATGGGGAGGAGGAGGAGGAGGATGAGGAGGAGGAGGATGAGGATGAGGATGAGGAGGAGGATGAGAATGAGGAGGAGGAGGAGGAGGAGGGCGAGGAAGACGAAGCTGGTAGTCTAAATTCGTTTTCTGGCCCCTAACACCAAACGACCTCACCAACCAACCAAGATCCTCTTCCACTGTACCAGGCATTTAATCGTGTAAGCCAGTCCCCTCTAAAGTATCGTCGTTGCCCACCCTGGCCTCAGGACCGCTCGCCTGGCCGCAGCTATCCATCACATAAAATTCGGCAGCGCAGCAAGCGCTCGCGAGTCGGCGTTTGTGTGTGTGCCGACGGCCCTGTGCAACTTGGGTGGTCCGGAGAGCTCGTGAACCGCCACTCCGCGCTCTGGGTTGGCGATCTAGTGCACGTGGTGGGGTCACGCAACGGCACACACACACACTAACGCTTGCGAGACGCGGCCTGGGACCCGACCTCCCTCACGGAGGTGGTGGCTTCATAAAACACCGACGAGAGCCAGAGGAGTGAACCATCGCCGTAACTCTTTGCAGGTCGTACTACATGGGCGCGCGCATGCGCACCTTCCAAAGTCTGTGCTGGGGCCAAAATTCGGTCACAGTTGCCTGCCCTCACGTCCTCCTGCCCAATTATGCAAAAATTAAACGTCAATAAATTTTAACGAACTCTGGCCTCGTCGCTTACGCCGATGGTGGTGTCAGCGGGAGAGCGCATCTGATACGGTGAAACAACAGCTGCTGTTGGTCCTTGTTATGTCTCCCACTACCACTACTGCTGCTACTACCACTACTACTGCTACTACTACTAATACTACTACTACTGCTCTCCCCAAATGCTTGTCCTATACAGACCATATTGTAGAGATTGTTGAGTGGGCGACCGGCGTCAACGATTCGTGAAACTTCGGCTTTAAGGTAGCTACAGCGATGAGAACCATTTTTAGTTGTAGCTAAAGGTAGCCTTGGGTCATAAAATTGCTAATGCTATTCACACTAACGGTATTAGTACTACTACTGATAGCTACGATATTAATGCTGCCGTAAGAGTCAAATGTAGCCTACACTCGTTCTTGATGAAGAGTTATTATATTTCGCATAACAGGAGCAGTGACCGTAGAAAATAAGCAAGAGTCCTTAGCAGTTTTACAATGCGTTTTATTAATGAAAAAAGTTTAAGTTCTGACCGAAGAGTATGCGTTCGCAAATTAGGGGACTCTAATACTTGGTTTCCGATAGTGTATTTGTGCTGATTTCACAGTCTTCCTTCCAAGCGAGGATTAGTTTTACAACGGACTATAACCGAAAAAGGGGAGGATTACGTGGTTTTTGGAAAACCAAATGAAATTACTAAGTCATTTTCACCTTTAAGTAGTACTAAACGCAAGTTGGGCCAATTAGAATAAAATATTGGGGACCAAAGATAAACAAAGGCTACTCTTCCCTTAAAATGTATTTCCGTCTATGGTTACACGCACCGTGAGGCGATTTACGTAGTGAGTTCAACAGTCAGTGCAGTAGAGTTTAGACCATTATTCAAAATGAGGCTAAAAAGATAATTTTAAAGTGTCCTGCATATTTTGTAATGGAATGGTTCACAAACTGCGAGGTGGATATGCTTGCAACCACTTCAGCTTAACAACCCAGCGGTCAAATTGTCAAACTCCACGGAACCGCAGTAATTTGGCGAGGCATGAGGACTGTCGAGACCGCATATGATGTTTACCTCGTGTCAACAGCCCAAAACCACAAAAGTCAGCCCAAAGCTCACTACGAACAGATGGCCCCCAGCTGGTCGCCCCGAGGATGTTGGGGTCCATGCGACTACAGAAACAACAGCTGTCGTCAAATTTGCGTCCTCATACCAACATCCTTATCACAGTGGGTTGAGTGCGAGCGTTTGTTCTAATGTTGCGTACGGGGAACAATAAACACCTTTAGTGCATGTTCTGCAGTTTAGTAGGAACGTTTCCTTCCGATAACTATATGATAACCACTGTGGAACCTTAGACATATACGCGCTAAAAACAAATACAGTGGTTAAGTATTGAATTCTATCCACCGTTGCAGACTTAAGCTGCATAGAGACACCAAATTTATGACAGTTACAACAAAACTATGCAGTGAACTCTCGGTATTCGCGGGAGTTGGGACCAGAACTACCTGTAGACCCCTCTACAAACGTTTATAACTGCCTGTCTTAGTGTTTAGCACCAAACAGCCCTTAAGGTATCGCTCTAAAACAATAATATTGTTGACTGTGTTTACATTGATATTAATATTTTAAAGCTGATTTGTTATATTTTATCAGAAATTTTACTTAGCCAAAAAACAAATGAAAACCATTAGCGAATATTCTAGACATGATTTACGAAAAGGAGAAACCCACGAGTAGGTAAATCCGTCATGACTGAACAGCGAGTGGGTGGGGGTAAATGGAATACCTTACCATATGAGACTAGAGAGGTGTTCAAATTTACCTACCTCCAACAGTTAATGCATTTTTATGTGTACTATGGTTGTAAGCTGCAACCTCTGTCTACTAATAATGTGGACAAACAATAAAGGCGAGCAGTGAACGATAACCTAAACTATTATGAATTAGATTGAAAATGAAAATAAAATGAATTAACAGATAGATTTATCCGCGACGCGATTGTGGTTCTAATACATTCATTGGTCTAGAGTGTAGCTAACTGCAGAAAAGTCTATCCTAGAGGTACGAAGTCCACAGAACGAACTTTATAAAGTAGTCATACAGACATGTTCGCTTCTCTGCTTTCTTTATCGCCCTCTCACCCGTACAGGAAAAAGTTAATCCAAACTGGCAAATTCGCGAATGCCAATAATTCTAACAAAATTAGAAGGGAACGTAATTACTAGGGTCTCATTCGCGGATGAACCATTACGGACACCCCGAGGTCTGTATTACACACACACACGAATACACGCACGTACACACGCACAAACACAAGACCCCTTTCGCCATACGTGCCGGTAAATTACGCCAGTTGACCGACTGTGGCCATGCAGTCGTCTTGCGCGTGCACGTGCTTGCGAGCCCATTTACCTCCACGCCTCTGAGGGTTCTGCATGTCCGCCTACCTACTAATTATACTCTTCAATGCTCTATATCAGATTTAAATCTCAGAAAGAGGGAGGCTCGTCCAATCTCAAGCGCACAATTACCCGTTCACACAATTCTTCCCCGAAGGATTAACTTCAAACGATTGGCCTCCTACTCCCTTTGACTTGTACAACTTTGATGCACAGGGGCCGGGGAGTGGGACGAGGGAGAGAAGCGCAGGAGCCATCTGCGCACAGTGAACGACACCCACCCATTCACACCATCACGCCTTTCGTCAATAAAATTATTGTACAGTCTCATATGCACCATGGAGATAATTAATTAAAGAGCAGATACCCCTGAAGGGAAAGATTCAGTCGGTAGAGTTATTCTACCCTTCAAAGTCCTTCCTGTGACAGTTTACTATTCTCCCACAGACGACCCAGACTACCTCTGGTCGTCCTCTCCCTACAAGTCGATAAGCAGCATTAGGCGACCATCGAATGGCTGGGAAGCCCTATTCGAGAAGTAAATCCTCCCTTGCTGTGAAAGCATGTAGAAAGGGTACCCTAAACTTTTACATTGGGAATGACTT